AAACCAGTGAACAGTGTCGAGCTTGAACGGTGTTCATTGTATACGAACGGATCGGTTTTAAAGTAATGAATGTAAATGAGAGCGACGTTCATTCTGAGTTTAATGAGCGACGGACACAGCTCACAATTGATAACGTCACTTTTCATTGAATAACGTCAGGTTTTACCGCACTTTTTACGTCAAACAGCCAGACAGACCAGCCTGTCTAATGCTAGCACTAGTCTGTTCCATTCAGGCTCATCCGCTGGTATTTCTGATGCCAGTTTAGCAGAGCGCTTGGCCGAGTTTGATGAGCTAACAAATGAAGACTCGGACAGAAAAAGAGGCTGCCCACCGGGACTTAAACAAGTCCGTACGTCAACCACGTCCATCTTTTCAGCAGAAACTGAATGTTCCTATATAGCCCCGTTTCCACTACCCTTTTGAAACCCTGCCGTGATCGGTCCGAGCACGGTGACCGAGATATCTATTGAGTATAAATGGTACGCACAATTGAACCAGACCGTGCCAGACACAACCGAACCGTGCTAACATGGTACTAGTTCATCAGTAGGGCTGGTTCTGGACATTTATAAAAATACTAGGTGTCCTACCGTGCCACATGATTTCAAGTGATGATTTTGCTTGGCAGTGTGATGAACCTCAACGTCCGTCAATGTTTACTGCGCCTGGATGCCCTGATTAGACTATCGTTTGTTGTATCAACTTCCCAAAAGCCGACCCTGTCAAGAAAATTCGCTGCAGGCTGCCTTCTTTGCCTGACTCACTGCAAACTTTCTGAATGTTACAGGAACGCCATGTTGGTTTGCTTGTTTGCTTCAACAGGGGGTCCACAGAGGTACTGCATGGGGGTCGAAAAAGTTTAGGTTGATTTAACTTTTTTTGTATTCAACCCTGCAAATTTTTCCACTAATTGAAATATCTTTAAATCCACATTAACATGATTTCAAGAGACTGTAGTAAACAGATAAATGGAGGCAGAAGATGTCTTTCAGTCATCAATGCTCACATTCACAAACACACAGGAGCTCTTTCAAGCTGGGCACCGTTTCATTCACAACACCTGTCCCATCAACCAGGAATCAGAAATATTCTAATAATCCCAGGGTGGAATTACTTTCCTTTCATGACTCCATCTGTAATAGAGTGACTATAGACCAGTGTGATATAACACAATCTCAAACAATATATATAATTAGGGGGTCCCATCTCCATCTCGCCATCAGTTTGGGGTTCTTGGCCTGGAAAACGTTGAAGACTCCTGATCTAGAGAGCAGTAGTACCGTAGATCGTCACTAGGAAGCGAAGAACCTTGCTAGCATGGTGTGTAAACGGTCGTTAGGAACCGACGACGGTGCGGTTAACTGATCCAAGCTTGATCCGAACTCGGCACAGATCGGTTTTCCGAGGTGTAGTGTAAATATGGCTAATGTTTCTGAAGTTCTGTGTATTTTGGCTAAATTAAAGGCTTTGCTGCACATCCAGTCAGTGATGGGAGTAACGACGTCGAAAGTAAGGCGTTACTGACGCCGCTACCTTTTTTAGTAACGATTAATCAAAATGATTACTCTTACTGTAACTATAACGCAGTTACAATTGCCGACACCCTGTTACTGCACGTTACTCAGGTCGCACAATTAACCTTTTTCCATGAAAGGACTCGTGCGCGCGTCATGAGAGAGGGGAGGATGGAGAGTGAGGAGGACTCCAGCAGCAAAACAGCGCTTTCCAGATGGAAATACCAGTGTTACGTCGAGCTGCGTTTCCCCATCAGATACGGTTTCCCCTGCATCTCCGCACAGCGCAGGCGGCACGATTCACC